AGGCAAGTCATAAGTTGATTCGACAACTTACCTGAAATTAGTATCTTAAATGCCCTTTAAATGCTTACAATACAGACCTTACTAGACAGCCACAATTTCTTGGCTATGTACGTAATACCTAAGTTTTTAAATTTTTATATCATCTAATAAAACTACTACAGCATTACCTGCTGATAGTTCAGAAATTATTCCAAAATATCCCTTCTGTTTTGGCAAATGGGAAAACTTAAGAAAGCCTAGGCATAACAATGTTCTTACAGTGATGAAGTTTTAACAAAACTATGACACTGAAATTTTTTTCCTGTTTTTCCCTATATGCACTAATTTATTCACTAATCTCCATCACAAAATCCTGCTAATACCCCCCAGAATTTTCTTTTTTTTTTTTTATTAAATTTTTTAATTAATTAAATTTTTTATTTTTCTTTCTATTTTAATTTTTAATTTTTTTTTTTTTTTTTATTTTCTTATTTTTTTTTTTTTTTTTTTTTATTTTTAATGTTAAAAAAAGCTGACCTAGGGTATGAAAGCAAAGTTCATCAGTATCAAATCTTCCTTTACAGTACCTAATGTGCTATATAAACACACCATTAAATATCTACAGGAAACCATACAAGCAACTTCCCGTTTTTCAGATTGACTTACACACCCAATTACACTTAGTATGCTTAGCAAATTAGCCATCTTTCTCACCATACTGAGTCAGTAACAATTCAAGAAAGGAGAAAAATGTAACAGCGAATGAATTACTTTCAGTACTTTTATTTAGTAAGATATGAAAAAGGAGGTAACATTGAAAATAATAGAATAGGAAGGGTAAAAAATGTCTAAGACAAATATTCCAACTTATCTAAGTAAGGTGTAAATAACTGAGTCTCCCATCTGTCCCTACTCTCTCAATGTTTTAGTTTACTATAGGGAAGGGTCTAGGGAAGAGAAGAAAGTGAAAACTGACCTATCATCTGTTTTGTATATGTGCGTTTTACTAAATAAATGTTAACTACCACCACTTAATGAGCACCACTGGACCAAAGACCATGGTAAGAACTCTAAATACATTTTCTCATTTATCATGAGATAAAACAAAAACACTGAGTAAAAATTATCAATAACATATGAGAAGTGAGAGAATGAAATTATCTAGGAGACTGCAAATTATAAAGAACACATGAATCAGATCTTCAAGCACTAACAAAGTAAAAATACTACAGGGTGAAGACTAAGATGGTAATCTAGGAAAAGTTCCTTAACTTTATATAAAGTTGTGTATTAAAAGTGATATTCAAAAAAGTTACACATGTCTTATCATAAAGTAAATTTCTTACAAAAATACATACTGCATCTAAGATGTTTCTCCCCTTTTAAAAAGCAGTAGATAAGATACTACACACAATGTAGCAGTCACTCCTCCGAGTAACTCTCATTGGAAAATCAATATTTAATAATGAACAAACCCTGAGTATCAAACTTTGAATATGGAAAGATTATTTTAACATCAAACCAAATTAGAAATACATGATCAATACACTAAAATAAAACACTAAAAGCACCAGAAGCTGCCCTTTATAATAGCAAATAATGTTAATGAAATACATTAAACACCAACTTAAATACTTACTTACTATTGAGGTATTCCTTCATTTTGAAGCTAGGTATTCAATAAAAAAAGTTTAAATAAAGCAAGTTTGATTAATTTTTAAGTGGGAAAAAAAAATTGAAGCTAGCACTGCCCTCACGGAAAAAAAAAAGCTTAAGACTCTAGGGTCTGACATTTTAATGGAAAAATCCCAAAACACCTCAGTAAGCAATAATCTTGAAAAGTCAGTCACAAGTGTACCTGATGTTATCAAGTGTCAAATCATCTAACTTGTACTTTTAACCAGCTTTCCTAGGACACTCACTTAATTCAGCCCCTCAGCTTATCCTAAGTCTCCATCCACTCTCTCCCCCTCCACCAAATATTTCTCAAACATCTTCTGTATGGAAATTTAGATGTGATACTCTCAAAACCTCAGAGAGATGGAAAACATGCAGCCCAAAGTTACCAAGATCTGTGGTTTTATGAACTGACCAATAAAAGCCAAAGAACTAAAACAAGTCTCACCAACTTCCTCAATCACACACACACACAAAACGTTGAGCAATGACTCAATACTTAATCAGTATTTATTCATTAAGTCAACAAATATTGGGTGCCTACTATGTTAAAGTCACTGTGCTAGGCACTGATAAAAAATTACGAACAAAATAAAGACTATCCCAGCCCTCGTGTAACTTCCACTCCAGAGAGGAGGAGAATACAGAAACAAGTAACACACCGATATAACCCAATACTGATTGCATTCCAAATTCTGAATTTAGTCTCATGGCCCACTTTACTGCCTATTATCATCCTAAAAGCATTTATGTTAATCCACTTAATTCCTTCAAACTATACTCAAAATTATGCTAATTAAAATGAAAAATGATTTTGTGAACAAATAATTGAAACCTTCTACAACATGGGATGAACCATGAAAACACTCTGCTAAGTGAAATAAGCCAGACACAAAAGGTCATATATGTAGGATTCCATTCATATGAAGTATCCAGAATAGGTAAATCCAGAGACAGATGCCAGGATAGGAATGGGCTGCCAGGAATTGGGAGGGATCAAGGGAAAATGAGGAGCAACTGCTTGATGGGTTCAGGGTTTCCTTTAGGGGAGATGAAAGTGTTTTGGAGCTAGACTGAAGTGGCAGTTGCACAATGTGTGAATGCACTAAGTGCAACTGACTCATGCATTTTAAAATGGTTTATATGTCCTGTATATCTCATCTTAATTAAAGAACAAAATAAAAAACAAACAGCTACTAGAGTATTTTAAAGTGGACTTTTTGTCACAAATAAAACTGCTCAAGTTTAACTTTGGGAATTTCAGTTATATATGTTTCAAACCTTAATTCCCTTTAGCCCCATTTTAGTATCAAAATGGCTTTTGGGTTTTTATGGCAAACATCATTTCTTAAAAATCTGTTTTCATTGCATGCAGATGTCATTTAATATTTTGGAAATACATATAATTCCTATTTACATGATGATACTCTTTTAGTATGCATGTTTATTAACATCTTTATTGGTCATATATTTGGTATATAATATACTCTCATCAAGCATGTGCCCAATAAAAGTTTGCCGACATCAACTATCTTCTTTATAATGAAAATACTGATTCAAATGAGTTTTTATTTTGTTCAATCTCAATAATCTAAGTGCAATTCAATGCCACCCTCTCCACCAATGTCACTTTTCCCACCTCTGTTATAAGATGCAGCACCATTCTGTCAGCCTAGCACCTTGGTTATTCACTCAGCCTAGTTTCTTGAGCCCAGAGAAGCTTCTTAATCCCTGGTTTCAAAGCCTCCACAGGGCTAAGTAGGAATTGGAGAGACAGGCAAGAGGTAAAGAAGATGGTTCCAGGCAGAGAACACATTTCCAAAGACCTAGACACCAGAAAGTACCTGCAGTGAGCAGAAGCCAAAGGTAAGGCCAGAGGCATGGGCAGAGTGCTGCAGGCCACTGATGGCTATCTGGACTCTATCCGGAGGACAACAGGGAGCTGCCATTTCAGAATTCTGGATGAATCACTGGATTGGACTAGGGAAAGGTGAGGTTAGAGGCAGGAGAAGATAACATCAGTCAAAGAGAGAGAGCAAATGGTATTAAGTGGGTGAAACATCCTCCCTACAAATTGTCCTGCCTTCAAAGATCTTCAACCTTGAGGACCTGAGCATGGAACTTAGAGCACAAACACCAGGGGCAGATGGCCGGCCAGCCAGTTACTGCCATGTGCAACATGAGCCTGGTATAGCAAAAACCCCAGGAGCTTGGCCAGCCCACCTCCTCTCCCCATAAAACTTAATCCAATTTCAGGTGTGCCTCCTATCCTCACACATATATCCTTCCCAGGTTATTATCTGGATAAAGAAAATGGACCTTTATCTAGTGCCTCTGCCCTCCAAATATGACTTGACCTGAACCAGGGCTCAGCCAGCCAGGCCAAGGGGAAAGCAACAGGAAGAGCCTGGGCCTATCAGTCTCACTGCTAGGAAAGGACCATAGAAGCTGCAGATGGCTTGAAAAATTCACTCATTACTCAGATGCTCAGCAATCTACCTGTTCCCAGGCACTCTGCACCTGGAGAACACTTAGAAAGGGGTCGTGTTTGGGTAAAGGTTTCTGTTATGGAAGAAACTGAAAACCCTAACCTGAAGTGATGAAGGCTAGAGCAGGGCGAGCACCAACAGCAGGAAGGTTGTCACCGCTTTGTAGGAAAGGCAGCAATGGTAGGAACTCTGCAGGCTAAGAGGGGGTTAAGGGTGGGGCAAAGAAGGTACATGTGGCAGAGGAACCAGGGAATGTGCCTGGGTGGAGAGCTGAGTGGATGAGACCTGAAGAAGAAAGGCATATGTTAGGGTCTTGTGCTCTGCGCTGAGGTACTAGGGCTTGATCCCAAAGGCACTAAGGGGCTGATGAGGGAGTAGGGGTCAGATTCATTTTGGAAAAATCACTCTGGCAGAAAGTGACACAAGGCCCAGAAGGTACAAGTTTGGAAGTCAGAAGGCCAATCCAGAAGAGAACAGTCTAAACAATACCCAGCTGTGGAGACCCAGAAAGGCGAAGTAAGACTGTCTCAAACTTTCCACCAAAGGGTCCCAGCTCTGGGGTCCAATTCAATGGCCCTTTGGCTGAGGCCTGGTCCTAAAACCTGTCTAACTTTGAGGTGTAAGCATCCTTCCTAAGCCAGTTAGCCCTTCCCAGAGAACTCTCTCCTGCCTAACAAACACCACTGACAGGCTGGCACAAGTGGGCCCTCACTTAAGTCTCAAGTTCACTTTTATAAAGTGGCCAGAATTAGACAACAGTACCACTGTCAAAGGGAAGAGGCAACTGGCCTGGCCACCAGCAACAACTGCAAGCCCACAGAAGCAAAGCCGGGCTCCAAGCCAAGCATCCTGGAGTTCATGGTATGAGCCTGGGGTGTGCTGGGGTGACGGCACCAGGGTGGGAACACTGTAGGGCTGGATGCAGGGCAGGACACAGCCAGGAATTCACTGTTTCATACACAGGCTGTGCCAACTTCTCCCTCCGGCACCGCTCCAGCAGGCACATCTTGGGGGTGATTTGGGGGGAATATGCTCTCCTGGGGAAAGGAGGGGAAGGTGTCAGGGCTCCCCCACCCCCAGCATCACCACTTCAAACCCCTGATAGGGACTGCAGAAACTGAGGCATCAGGCTACTTGCCTCAAGACTCCTGTACTTATTCCTCTGAGCTCCCATTTCTGTCCCACCAGGGGCTTGGGGCCTGGGTTCTACCCAAAGGGAAGACAGGCTTCAGCATACTTGGGGAATTAGGCTGGGAAATGAACTCCCAGCACTCTGAGCGCCAGCCTGTAAAACAGCCTCAAGAACTAAGAAGAAAGGTCCAGTTTGCCTCTCAAGACAAGATTAGGGGGAGTGGACAGGGTGCGGAATACAGGCAACCATATAAGGTCTCAGTGCCCACCCTGATTATGTCTATTATTAAGTGTCAGGATGATCTGCTGCTGCCCTGGACACAGTGGACTCTGGTTTCTGAGTTAATCTGTGACAGGGTGACAGGGTGGGAGGTACCGTGTTCCAACATCCCACCAGAAGCTCTCATGAGATATGACTGCCCAACAGCTGTGCCCATAACCCTCCTCCCAAGCGCTTGCCAGACAAGACTGACTCCTGGTCTGGGCCTGGGGATCAGAAAGGCTCAGATCCCAGACAGCAGAGGACAGTCATGAGGGCCCCGTTTGAAGCTGAGTCACGGTCTGAGGCAATAATCAGCCAGAGGTTGCTTCTGCCTAGAGGGGGCACCACAGGGCTGGAGAGAGGTAGTGGGTGTGGGCCAGGGATGCACAGCCAGATGAGGGCTAGGGTCCCACTGCTACTGGGGAGCTCCTGGTAGGCAGCTAATTCCTCAGGGCCAGGGTAAAAACACAGACTCACAGGAACAGAGGGAGACACACACCCCCATCCTGAGTTGTGGTAGGGATGGGTCAGGGAAAGGTGGGGTTCAATCACCTTGGGACAGCAATAACACCCTGACAGTGCTACTTGGGCTTTTAGGGACTGTCTTCCCCAAAGTGACTTCTCTGAGATGCTGACAATTCAGAACAAGTGTCCAAACTAAGGAAATTTGTGGTCTCTAACCTTGGCATTAACCATGTACAGAAAAGCCAGCTTACTGACCTAGTCAGACCCAAAAGGAACTGGCCCTTCTCCAAGCTGAGGCCAAGCTGGAGACCTACCAGTCAAACTTCACAGCCAAGTGAATGACACCAGAGGTGTCTTCAGCTGGTTCCCCTGGCTCCTCTGGGGTCCTGGCCAAGAGCTCAGCCTGCCGGGCATCCAGCTCTCATGTGGTGTCCTCATAGAAGGTACCAAGGCCAAAAGCCTCACTATGGAGGGACAAGCAGAGTAGGGCAGGCCCCTTAGTGGACCCAGCATACAGGCAACTGCTGCAAGAACCCAGAGCCCCACCACTGAAAAATGCTTCCCACCAACATACACCAAAACACCGTTGGGACCTGGCCATCAGAAGTTGCTTCCCACCCACCCCTGCTATCAGCCTGGACTGGCAGATGGAAAATGAATGTGAGCCTCTGAGGTTGGACACTGCAGGGTAGGACTGGGCTGGGTGGAAAAGGTTCTAACGGTTCCTACCACCTGAGCCTACAGGCAGGTGTCCCCAGCTAGCAGTCAGTAAGTTGACCTAAATTAATGTAGCGCCTGGGGTACGCATAGCTTCATCCTCATGTGGGCCCATGCAAGGAAGAGACAAGGCCTGACCACTGAATGGTTCCCCACTTCCTGTCCCAGCCACAAGCAGTCAGGCCTCGCCTAAGCTGAGGTATCACCCAGGGCTACGGAGTTATACTCTTCCTCTTCAGCTTACAAGACACCTGCGTCAACTGGGTCAGGCTCTGTACGACAGGGACAGAACTGACACCACAAGCCCAGGGTGGGGAGAAGGGTTCTGACAAGGCTTTTCCCTTCTAGGGAGCATCTTGTCGGCTAAAGGGCGTTCACAAAAATGGACGCCTGGGACGGTCAGTGGTTCAGAAAGGCTGAGGAGGGAGGACCTAGACAGGCAACATGAGGGGTCAAGGGCATTCAGGCAGAAGACCCAGTATAAGCACAGGTAGGGGGTGAGCGATAGGCGCAGGCACTGGGCTGAAGATCAATGCCAGAGTTGGAGCTATACCAGATCTAGAGGACCAAAGGGTGGCCTCCCAGACTCAGCTTAGGGCTCAGAGTGATGGGGTCTGGGTGCAGGCTCAGGCCAGGAGCTCCATTCTACAACTACAACTCTCCTGACCATTGGGTCTTAGCGTCCAACATGTGACACATCTGTGACCAGGAAAGCCCCTTCCTCCCAAGAATTCCCAAGCCCAGCCCTCACATTCCTCCGTCCTACTAGTGCCCTGTTCCCAAAACTCTGCTGCTTAAGAAATCAGTCCAGGGATGGGAAGTTCCGAAGCTTTGTAAGTATCCCCTTGTGAGAAGTGGAGCGGTACCACCATCCCACTCCTGCACACCGCCTCCAGAAGCTGTGTCCCTGGTCCCCTGGAAGACTCAGCTTAGGGCTCAGGGTCAGGCCTGGCCAGCGTCCACAAGGACAGATGGACAGCTATTGCTGCTCTCACCAAATTTCCCGGGAAGACTGGGCAGCATGGAGCAACCTTCCCTGGGACGACTCCAGCTGTTCTTGGAGCATCTGGCACAAGCAGTACTTGGTGTTGGTGTAGTGGTTGTCGTACTTCACAGCCTGAGGAAGAACCCGCATGAGTCCACCTGCTGCCTGAGCTGTGCTCTGACGGCAGAGAAAGGGGCTCCAAGGGGGCAGCAGAGGTGTGCTTGCAGGTGAGGCACCATGACTCCATAAGAAGACCCCCTCCATCCTGGCCATCTGCTTCCCTGGTTAGTGGTACAAAGCTTGAGGGTCATGGCCAAGGTTGCCAGTCAGGAGCATACTCTACAGGCCAGCCTGACTGAGGTCCAGAGGTGTAGGCAGCTCCTCCTGCTTCAGCCACCGCAGGCTGCCACCACAGAGGACCTGCCACCAAGCATCTTCCAGGGCGGGTAGGGGGGACAAGCCAAAATTCTGGTATGGCAGGACTAGCCCAAGCACAGGTGTGAGACTTTTCTACTCCAATAACAACAGTGGGTACCTTCTCTTCCCGCATCTTAAATGGCCTGCCTCCGATTTCCCCCAACGTGGATAAAGCACAGCTCCATCTACCAAGCTTGTTCACACACGTTACCTGTCACTACACTCAGCTTTCTAAGCATGGGATGCAGCTGTTACCACCACTTCACAGGCTGAAATACAGGCTCAAGGAGGCACGTGACTGCCCAGGGTGGTGTCCAGTAGAAGCCTGTCTGGCAGGGGCAAGCAGGAGAGCAGTGGGTAAAGGGTGGCCCAGCTCTCCAGAAAACCCTCCCATCACTTGCCCGCTACACTCTGCTAATATCTCCACTTAGGCCTCGTCTTCAGTGCTTGGAAAGGTGCCAGGGCACACTCAGGACCAAGCAGGGATATGTGGGCAAGCCCCAGCCAGCGACAAGGCCCTGATCCAGCTTGTTTGGGACAGAAGGCACCGGCTGGACCAGAAGCAGCCCTGCCTAAGCTTGAAAGCCACTCCCTTTCTCTGGGACAACACACCCTCTTGAGGAGCTGCCAAGGGGCAGGCTGAGCAGGAATGATAATAGCACCTTTCACCCAGTGAGCAAGCTCAGCACTACTGAGCGTGTCTTCTCTGCAACAGACTTGCCAGCCGGCCAGAAGAGCCAGACATGACCTTGGCTGAGGCACGCCCCCCTTGCCTCTGGCTGACCCAGGCCCCTGGACAACCTGATTGTCACCAACCTGCCGGACAGGATCCCCAGAACCAAGAGGATGAGTGCTGCAGCCCTGAGCAGGGAAGGCTGTAGGAGAGAGGCCACCCAGCTCTGGACAGGGGCCTCAGGGCCTCCTATCACCCCCAGCCCTGGGGACACCCACACGCCATGGCAGCCGCAACTGCCCAGGCTGTGGTTTCATAGTTTCAGGCCATGGCCATGGTTTCAAGAGGGCACAGGAAGCCTGAGGATCTGAGAAGCTCCTGCTCTTCCCAGAGGGTGTGAGCCCAGAACTGAAGAAGAGGACGGAGCCTGCTCTGGTGAGGGCTGTACTCTGTGCTTAGGCCCAACTCACTGACAATTTGAGGACCACTCATCATTTCTGCCTATCGATACACATGGCTTATCATAAGAGTCCCACAGAGTTGCAGGTTTGTGCCAGAGGGACAGGGCAGGTGAACTTGTCAAATAATTCCTTTATGGGGAAAAGCCCTGCACTACCATCAAGCTCCCACTGAGAAGAAAAAACTACTCCCTAAGGAGAGGGTTAAAGTCAGGCTGTTCTCTAAGTCAAAGGTTTAAAGCATTCTGAGAGCTGCAAGAGAAGATTTCAGAACTGACTTTGACTGGTGACCAGGTGAGATGTCTCTGGAGACCATCTGTCCTCGACAGCAGCTACTCCTGGCGTGGCTGCTCTGGCACCAACCCACTGGCATGGGGGTCTCCAGTGCCAGGCCCCATTGTCCTCGTGCATGAGCAGGGGGAATGAGGGGGGGAAGGGAGTGTTGGTAAGAGAGAAAGAGAAAGAAAGATATCATGTGTTTGGGGCCACAACTTCATCCTGAATCGAGAGGTCCTTGCTCTGACCCCCACACTTTGGAAGCTTTAGCAGGAGGTGATGTTAAAGGGGTGCCTCCCCAGCACTCCTCTTCACAGGGCAGTCAGGAAACCTGATACTACATTACAAGAATGAAAAGGAAAAGGAGAGGAACAATAGGACTGCTGGGGGCTGGGGCTTACCCAAAGTGCCTTCTGTAGGGCTGTAGCAGAAAGTGAGAAAGGTTTGTTTTGAAAAAGCGCACAGACGTACGTATTGGATGTACTTCTGCATGACCTCCTCCAGGGGCCATAGACCCTCCTTGAGGAAGATGGACGGGTTCCACATGGCCCCTCGGGCCACCATCACTGAAGAGGCTGCTGGGTCTTGTCGAAAATCCTCTCTGTCCACATACTCGTGGATGTGGTCGTGAGATCCTCCACTGAAAGACAACAGGGCAGTAAGGGTGTCCTCATTCTCATACCACCACTTCCAAAAAAGACAACTTCCAGGTCTGTCACTCATTAAATGTATGGCTTTGACCAAGTCTTGCAGCTACGAGCGCTTCAGGAGGTTGGAGATTGTAATACACAGCCCACTATGGGGTCAGGAACACCGAGGGAGGGAATACAACAAAGCAGCCTGAACCGAGCCTGGCACTTAATAGGTGTCCCAGAGGTTTTACCTTCCTTTCCCCTCATCCTAAACAGTGGCTAAAGCCAGTCCCCATCTGAAGACATGGGTCTGTAGGTAGATACTGGGATCACAGGAAAGCCTGCATACAGGCCAGGGCACCCATATGCCCCACTGTGGGCTGGGTCAGAAACCACAGACAGTGGTGATAGCGAGGGGAAGGAAGGAGGCCCAGCTTGGTTGCGATTTCCCTTCCTGCCACCCTGCAGCCACAAGAGCCCCCTTGGAAGCTGCTGTTTCTTCAGCTGTTCCATTAGGAACAAGGCGGAGCCTCAGTCCAGTGGGTGGGAGGTCATGCGGCAATGATGACACCCTCGGGTGGCAGCAACAGCAATAGGATCCAGGATCCGAGTAGCCCTAACCTCCCCAAGCCACACCAACACTCCTTGGCCTAGGGACGCCAGGCCAGCTGCACTCCCACCCTGAGCTCCCTCCCTCCCACTGTCAGGCATGCCTTTCGTCAGGACTTCAGAGCTTTGGAACTTCCCTGTTCCACCTGCCTTCAGGCTCTGCCATCCTAAGGTGCAAGGCTGAGCTGCACTCCCAGCTGGCCCACAGCAGCCAGCACTCCAGGGGCAGCTGGACGCTGCCTTACTGCTAAGCCTTTGGGTGGTCATCAGTACCTCACATCTGCTGGCCTAGGTTCCTGGTCCTGTAGCGGCCAGAATGTTTGCCTCGTCTTTGGACTGTAACCTGCTTCATGTCCCCTGGGTCATAGCTCTACGTGCCCTGGCTTGGACTCCTCCCCTTATACCCTGCACACCAACCCTGGGTGTGACACCACATTCTCCTGGGCCTGCTTCAACAGCCACCTTCTTGCTCTCCGTATCCCCTGCACATTCCTACCCCCAATCTGTCTACCGAATGCCCTGAGCCCCTGCCTGGTACCCACATACATCAGCCACTCACGAGAGGCCAACAGACATTTTCAGCCTTATTCCCAACCTCATGTTTTGTCCCAGCCTTTTTCTCTTTCCCTTAAAGTTATTTTTTTAATGCTATCTCATTTCATGTTTCTATGGCAGCCCAATTCCCTTCTGAGAAAGGTGAGGCATAAAAAAATAAATGAGGAGGAAAGGAGGCTTACTTGGCTATGACAGGAATGGACAGGGTTTCAGCAATGGCTTTGATGGCTTCACAGCTGACAGGGTGCTGGGGTCGCTCCTCCCGCTTCCTTGGAGATAAAGAAAAAAATGATGGGCCTGAAGGCTGAGTGCCAAGGGCCATGTCATAGTTTGCACAGGCCAAACCCTACTGCCCTCTCTACTGAACCTCATGCAGGTCATGTAGCCAACAAGGTCGGGGTCTCAGTTACAGGGGATGGCTCTGCATTACCTGTGCTGTGAAAAGGCAAGTCCAGCTTTTAGAAGCTGGCAAGGGAGGCATGGCTGCACAGGGCTGTTGTGGGCAGCCTAGCCCCAAGGTCATACCACCTTTCCTTGGCCTCCCTTCACCTCTGCTAGAGATGAGGGACAGTGCTATAAGAATGCTACCCCTACTGTTCCAGTCTCACCCTCCTGGCCCAAGGGACTGGGAACAGCTGCCACTGCTAAGGCTAACCACTCCCACACAGCTGCCTGTGCTGAACCCCAGTTGGGCAGCTGATCCTGGGGAGAGGCACCTGGCACAGGGTACACCCAGCGGTCAGGGCAGGCCACAGACCATGGTTCTGTCACAGTGAGCCACAGGCGAGGCAGGACCACAACTTTGGGCCCCTCCTTTCAAGGTCAACAGCAAGAAACTCTTGTGTATGAGTAAGTCAGTCTTAGACATGTTGAGGTGAGCCCTGACATGAACTGTGCTCGGGAACAAGCAAGAATGTTGGTCGGCTAGATAGCCCTTGCCCAGGTCTTGCCTAGGTATGTCCCCTCTGTTGCACTCCTCAACAAAAAGCTCAGAGGCAACAGGGCATCAGAAGACCCTGTCAACCAAGCCTCCACCTCCACCTCCCTATACCCTCAGCAGCCAGTTCGAGCCCACCCTCAACAGCTTTGATGGCCAGAAAGTCCCTTCTTAAACTCACCCGATTCTGTCTTCCTACTTCTTCCAACTACTGGTTAAAAAGCATAAAGCTGTGTTATTCAGAGAATACTCTATGCCAGGCACTGTGCCAAGGCTGTGTATTCACATCTCAGAAAAGCCTCATAACAACCTTGTAAAACAGAAATTATCTTAATTTCTAAATGAGGAATGTGGTACTCAAAGAGGTTAAGTGATTTGTCCAAGGATACAGAGCCAAAAACCAGCAGAGCTGGGATTTGAAGCCAGGCCGTCTGAGCCCAGACCCTGCAGCCAGGGGAAGAGACACATGTGAATGTGTGCGTGGCCTTCACCTCCCCCTACTGGTTTCTGCCTGCACAGCTCTACTTTTCTCTTTTTCACATGCTGCAACTGTGGGTCCCCTTTTTGGAAAATACTGAAATATACACAACCAGAAAAAAAATAGACTGTAGCTACAAGACTCTTGAACCCAAAAGGAAGATCAATAAGAGAAGAGACATCAGTCTGGTCAAAGTCCACTGATCTGGGATTTTGCACAAAAGTATATCTTGTACAGGGAGCAGGTCTGACTGGGAAACCAAAGGCAGTCGTCAGCAATACTTCAGCTCTCAGCAGACAGCACATTAGCTACAGATACAAGCACTGTTTAAAGCAGTCATTGTGACAGCTGGCAGTCCAACAAAGGCTGACAGAAAAGGCAGTGGCTTTAAAAGAGCAGCAACTGCCTGTGGTCCTTCAAGGGAGAAACTATTGTTCAATGCAGTGCAAAGAAAATGAGATTCAGAGTTAAGAGTTCTAATTCCACGAGTTCCTGGCTGCATGATACAATTTTAAGCAAATCACTCAACCTCTACCATTTATATATTCTGAAGGTAGGGTCATTTCTCCTTCCTCTTGGTCTTTCTGTGTCTCTAAAGCTCAGTGCAATATCTACCACCAGTAGGTGCTCAATGAATGAAACAAAGAAAAATACAAGCCCATAAAGGGTTTGACTGCCTTCAGAACTTAGAGGACGTCAAAGAGAGCTAGGCAACTAGGCTGCAAATGTAGAAGAGAAGTTGGTTGTCACTGGGGGTCTGGTGAAGGATCATTAAGATGGCTGAGGATGTCCTTACAAGTCAGTCACTAGAAAGGCGACCACTGACCTCCCATGAACTGCGATGGCGGCAATGCCAGTCCTCGCTATCCGCTTCACAAGGCTCAGGGTATCTTCCATCTGACAAAGAGAACCACAAAGAGTAGTTACTGAAGTCACCAAGGGAGCAGCTGCCAGCTTCTAAAGAGGACTTGGCTCCAACTCCTCCTCCAAACCGAATTCAGCTCCTCAAGAATCATTCACACCCCCAAATCAACATCCCAGAGAAAATGGACCTTCAAATGGAACACATCAGCCTTACTGATGGCAGGATGCGAATCTTGCAGGTCACAGGTCTGCGTGTCCTTTTAACAAGAGTGCTGAGGATCTGCAGAGAGAACACAAGAGCACCTGCTCCTTTTGGAACAACTGCAACTGCTCATACTTACTAACTCTGCTGCAGACCTGTCCATCACAGTGGCATGGACATGTCTATGTATGTGTATGTGTCCACGAGGCCAAGAAATCCACCTTTTTTTCTACACTAGAGCCCTAGCACCAGTAGTCCCTAGTCTGGAACACAGTGGTGTACCTAGATTTGGTAAGAGAATGAGAATGGATCTGCATGCATGCCTATGCAGAACACAGTGATCTTTGGCCAGGGCAAACATCTGAATCTCCTAGCAAGCTTAAGAAATACAAAATCTTAGATTCTCCCCCATATTTCCTGTAAGGATCTCTAGGGGCAGGGCTTAGAAATATGTGTTTTCAAAAGGCTCTGTAATTACTTGAATTTTAAAAAATAGCTCTTTATTACTTAGCCATACAAAAAAAAAGAGGAAATCCTACCATTTGTGACCACATAGATGAGCCTTGAAGGCATTATGCTAAGTGAAATAAGTCAGACAGAGGAAGGCAAATACTGTTATGATCTCACTTGCACATGGAATCTGGTAAAACACAAAAACAAATGAAACCCCACCATAAACTCACACTTAATTAAACTAGAAAAAGAAGAACAAATGAGGCCCCAAGTCAGTGGAAGGAGAGACATAATAAAGATTGAGCAGAAATAAATAAAATCGAGAAGAATAAAACAATAGAAAGAATCAATGAAAGCAGGAGCTGGTTCTTCGAGAAAATAAACAAAACAGATAAACCCCTAGCCAGACTTATCAAGAAGAAAAGAGAGTCTACACACATAAGCAGAATCAGAACTGAGAAAGGAAAAATCACTACCAACACCACAGAAATACAAAGAATTAAGACAGAATACTATGAAAAAGTATATGCTAACAAACTGGATAACCTAGAAAAAATGAACAACTTTCTAGAAAAATACAACCTTCCCAGTCTGACCCAGGGAGAAATAGAAAATCTGAATAGACCAATTACCAGCAAGGAAATTGAATTGGTAATCAAAAAACGACCTAAGAACAAAACCCTTGGGCCAAATGGTTTCACTGATGAAGTTTATTAAACATTTAGTGAAGACCTAATACCCATCCTCCTTAAAGTTTTCCAAAAACTAGAAGAGGAGAGAATACTCCCAAACTCATTCTATGAGGCCAGCATCACTCTAATACCAAAAGCAGGCAAAGACCTCACAAAAAAAGAAAATTACAGACCATTATCCCTGATGAACAAAGATGCAAAAATACTCAACAAAATATTAGCAAACCAAATTCAAAAATACATCAATAACATCAAACACCATGATGAAGTAGGATTTATTCCAGGGATGCCAGTATGGTACAATATTAGAAAATCCATCAACATCATCCACCACATCAACAAAAAGAAGGACAAAAACCACATGATCATCTCCATAGATGCCGAAAAAGCATTTGACAAAATTCCACATCCATTCATGATAAAAACTCTCAACAAAATGGGTATAGAGGGCAAGTACCTCAACATAATAAAGGCCATATATGACAAACCCACAGCCAACATCATACTGAACAGCGAGAAGCTGAAAGCCTTTCTTTAGGATTGGGAACAAGACAAGGATGCCCACTCTCTCCACTTTTATTGAACATAGTTCTGGAGGTCCTCGCCATGGCAATTAGACAACACAAAAATATAAAGGACATCCAGATTTGTAAGGAATAAGTTAAACTGTAACTGTTTGAAGATGACATGATATTGTACATAAAAAACCCTAAAGAATCCACTCCAAAACTACTTGATCTAATATCTGAATTCAGCAAAGTTGCAGGATACAAAATTAATACTCAGAAATCTGTTGCATTCCTATACACTAATGATGAACTAGCAGAGAGAGAAATCAGGAAAACAATTCTATTCACAATTGCATCAAAAAGAATAAAATACCTAGGAATAAACCTAACCAAGGAAGTGAAAGACCTATTCTCTGAAAACTACAAGACTCATGAAAGAAATTAAAGAAGATACCAATAAATGGGAACACATCCCGTGCTCATGGATAGAAAGAATTGATATTGTTAAAATGGCCATTCTGCCTAAAGCAATCTACAGATTCAATGCAATTCCTATCAAAATACCAACAGCATTCTTCAACAAACTAGAGAAAATCATTCTAAAATTCATATGGAACCACAAAAGACCCCAAATAGCCAAAGCAATCCTGAGAAGGAAGAATAAAACTGGGGGGATTACACTCCACACCTTCAAGCTCTACTACAAAGCCACAGTAAGCAAGACAATTTGGTACTGGTGCAAGAGCAGAACAATAGACCAATGAAACAGACTAGAGGGCCCTGATATAAACCCAACCATATATGGTCAATAAATATATGATAAAGGAGCAATGGACATACAACAGGGAAATGACAGCCTCTTCAACAACTGGTGTTGGCAAAACTGGACAGCTACATGCAAGAGAATGAAACTAGATTATTGTTTAACCCCATACACAAAAGTAAACTTGAAACGGATCAAAGACGTGAATGTAAGTCATGAAACCATAAAACTCTTAGAAGGCAACATAGGAAAAATCTCCTGAATATAAACATGAACAACTTCTTCCTGAATGCATCTCCTCAAGCAAGGAAAACAAAAGCAAAAATGAACACATGGGACTATATCAAACTAAAAAGCTTCTGTACAGCAAAGGACACCATCAACAGAACAAAAAGGCATCCTACAGTATGGGAGAATATATTTGTAAACGCCATATCTGACAAGGGGTTAACATCCAAAATATATAATGAACTCACAAGCCTCAACACCCAAAAAGTGAATAACCCGATTAAAAAATGGGCAGAGGATATGAGAGACAATTCTCCAAAGAAGACATTCAGATGGCCAACAGACACATGAAAAAATGCCCCACATCACTAATCGTCAGGGAAATACAAATTAAAACCACAATGAGATTTCACCTCACACCAGTTAGAATGGCCTGCATTGAGAAGACTAAGAACAGCAAATGCTGCTGAGGATGCGGAGAAAGAGGAACCCTCCTACACTGCGGGTAGGAATGGAAACTAGTTCAACCATTTTTTAGAGCAATATGGAGGTTCCTCAAAAAACTAAAAATAGAAATACCATTTGACCCGGGAATCTCACTCCTAGGAATTTACCCAAAGAATACAAGCTCTCAGATTCAAAAAGACATATGCACCCCTATGTTTATCGCAGCACTATTTACAATAGCCAAGATACGGAAGCAACCTAAGTGTCCATCAATAGATGAATGGATAAAGAAGATGTGATACATATACACAATGGAATACTATTCAGCCATGAGAAAGAAACAAATCTTACCATTTGCAACAACATGGATGGAGCTGGAGGATACTATGCCCAGTGAAATAAGCCAGGCAGAGAAAGACAAGTGCCAATGATTTCCCTCTTTCGTGGAGTATAACAATGAAGCAAAACTGAAGGAACAAAACAGAAGCAGACTTATAGACTCCAAGAAGGGACTAGCAGTTACCAAAGGGAAGGGTGGGGGAGGGTGGGAAGGAAGAATGGAGAAGGAGATTGAGGGGTATTATGTTTAGTACACATGGTGTGGGGGGGTCACGGGGAAGACAGTGTAGCACAGAGAAGACAAGTAGTGACTCTGGCATCTTACTACACTGTGGACACTGACTTCTATGGGACATGGGGGGACTTGATAACATGGGTGAAAGTAGTAACCACCATTGTGTTTCATGTGAAACATTCATAAGAGTATGTATCAATAATACCTTAATAAAAGAAAAAAGAACTCTTAACAGTTCAAAAAACAACAAACAGATTTGTGGCTATCAGGGGTAGGGCAGGTGGGTGATGGAGGGGTGGAGTGGAGGGAATTGGAGGAATATAGTCAAAAGAGTCAACCTTCCAGTTACAAGATATAGAAGTACCAGGGATGCGATTTACACCATGACTACAGCTGACACTGCTGTATGGTATATAGGAGAGTTGTTAAGTAGATTTTAAGAGTTCTCATCACAAAGATGAATCTTTCTCTTTTTCTTTTATCTGTATGAGATGATGGATATTAGCTAAATCTCTTGTGGTAAACTTTTCACATTATTTGTAAGCCAAACCATCATGCTGTAAGCCTTAAACTTACACAGGAGTATTTGTCAATTATTTCTCAATAAAACTGGAAACAATTTTTTTTAATATTTGAAAAAGGGTCTGCCCAACACATTCCCTCCTCACTATGATTCTGAGGCCTAGTGCTGACTGAGACCACAGGCTGACAGCTTCTTTCCCACTTGAAGGCAATGTTCCCCGAGTGCTGTTCCAGGATCTGCTGAGTGAGAGCAGGAAGGCTTTACAGACCCCAGGCCCCTTCCTCAGGCACTACTCTCTTCAGAGGGATCAGCTGTACAGAAGGGAAGCTGGCAAAGGACATTTCAACATATTAAACATATTAAAAGGTGTTTAGTTGTGTAGTAATTGCAAAGGACTTCAAAGAAAGATAAAGAAATTAAACAAGAAAATGCCAGGGAGGTGGCAAGACCAGACTACACAAGAATCAAATCAAGAGAGGTGCAGATAACACCGAATGTCCATGATATTGTTCTTTTCTTCCCTCATCAAAAATTTCAGGCCAGGCAAGCTGGACAAAAGGTGATACCAAGAGCCCTCATCCAAGAACTGGATCACCAGCAGCTCTGAGAGGACACGCAGGCAACTGCCGCCAGTCTTGGTCCTACACAGGAGGGGGCAGCAGACAGCCAAGTTCACGAACCAATGGAAGGGCCTTTCTCTCAGGGACAGGTTGAGGCAGGCTCCTCCAGAAGACATCAGACCAAGAGGCAGGGCTGACAGGCAGGAGGACAGATCATGGGCACAGCTGCCAGGGACTGGCAGGAAGGAACAGTCCCCACGTGCTACCCCAGGAGGTAGACTGGGACTGAGGTCCTAGGGTCACTCTGGCAGGTCCTAAAGGGGCATCTA